TGTAAACTTGAGTTCCTCTTCTCTGTATAATGTCATACTTTGGTGAGTACTAGGCTATGCGAAAAAAAAAAAATATGCAAAAAATGTTTTGGGTTTTTCAAATGAACAAAGAATCCTTTAGCAAATTGAGATGGCTGTGATACAAGTACTCATAATTTATCTTAATGCATAGTAAGGTTATGAATTCTTGTGAAAGAGTAGTTGGTATTCAGGCATCCTCGTGCTTTAAAAATGAGTATTCATTGTTGCTTTGGATGCAAAAGTAGACAAAGACAATTATTATTTTTCACATTTTTATATTGAATTACCTTTTAAGAATTTTGATAGCCAATATCAAAGCCATCCCATTATTCTAAACAAGAAAATTAACAGTATTGTTCAGGAAAGCACTACAATTTTCTGATTATTATTTTTCTTCTTCTAAATCTAGGCCATGGTTGATATTAAATGAAGTGAATCAATTTACTTCTACATCTAATAGTAATAACACATATATTTACAGGTAAATAATGCTTGTTCAAAATCATAAAGACATTTTAATGTGCTTTAGTTTACAGCTTATGCATTTATCTGAAATTAATATAAAAGAAGTAATTGATATATATTCAATGCAGTTAAGTCCCATTAGATAGTGTGAAGTTGTATTGTAACCACAAGAGGCATAAAAAGTTTTCAGATTATATTTTGATAACAGGTGTTAAGTGAGATAAGAAAAGATAAGGCATGTCTTATTCAGTTGCTATCAAGGGTAAAAAGTAGTATCTTTATTAACATTTTTTGGGGAATTAGAATGTAACTATCCCCTGGATTCCCCACAGAAATAGATAGTAACAGAACATAATATGTCAAAAAGGGAAATGCGGTAAAACATACAAGAGTTGGAAAAAAGGGCTAAGTAAATTACACATGGCATTTCCAGAGAGAGAGAGAGAGAGCTAGAGAGATAGAGCTAGAGAGAGAGAGAGAGAGAAAGAGCTAGAAAGAGCTAGAGAGAGAAATAGCTAGAGAGCTAGAAAGAGCTAGAGATAGTTAGAGCTAGAGATAGTTAGAGCTAGAGATGGTTAGAGCTAGAGATGGTTAGAGCTAGAGATGGGGCTAGTTAGAGCTAGAGATGGGGCTAGTTAGAGCTAGAGATGGGGCTAGTTAGAGCTAGAGATGGGGCTAGTTAGAGCTAGAGCTAGAGATGGGGCTAGTTAGAGCTAGAGATGGGGCTAGTTAGAGCTAGAGATGGGGATAGATCTAGTGAGAGGAGAGAGAGAGAGAGAGAGAGAGAGAGAGAGAGAGAGAGAGAGAGAGAGAGAGAGAGAGAGAGAGAGAGAGAGAGAGAGAGAGAGAAATAGATTGAGAGAGAGAAATAGATTGAGAGAGAGAGAGAGAGAAATAGATTGAGAGAGAGAAATAGATTGAGAGAGAGAAATAGATTGAGAGAGAGAAATAGATTGAGAGAGAGAAATAGATTGAGAAGAAAGAGAGAAATAGAGAGAGAGAGAGAGAAATAGAGAGAGGGGAAGAATAGAGGGAAAGACAGAAAGAGAACTCCAGATGCGGTGGAAGTTCTTGGTATTACATATACTTAAATGACTTTCAAGTGACACCTTGAACATGAGCAAGAAAGATGATGTGATAGATAAACAGGGGGACTGTCTACTGCCTTTGATATTAATTTTAGATTGATTTACAGAGCAGATGAGCTGGACTTCATCATGTACCGTATGGGCCTGCTGGCAACGCTGCGAGCTCGTGATACAAAAGGTAGTATGATTATTGTGTGTTCATGTGTAAAGCTTAAAAGAAAGTTGAAATTTGAATTCTGAATTAGAAATTGATGTTACTTGTTATGATTACAGATTCCTTTGTATGTTTATATCCTACTTAAAGTTTCTTTTAGAATTTTGAGTTTTAAGCCATAAACTTGAATGGCAGGTGGATGAGGGGGTAGAGGAAGATAAAGAGGAGCTGGAGATAGAGACAAATTCTAAAACTTTGCTTAACCCTTACCCCTTCTGACTACAGCTGTGATTGGAGTGATGATCACGGCTTCACACAACCCAGAGCCCGACAATGGGGTCAAGCTGATCGACCCAATGGGAGAGATGTTGGCGCCGGCCTGGGAGGCTCATGCAACAACCCTTGCCAATGCCACTGATGATGGCATTGCAGAGGCCATGGCCACCATTGCTAAGGAAGCTGGGGGCATTAAGGAGGACGAGAAGGCTTTAGTATTTGTTGGGAGAGATACCAGGTATGCTATGCTTTTCGTGTTGTTGAAGTGGTGTGTTTGTGTGTATGCAAGTATGAGTGTGTATGTACAGATTTTGAGGGAGGGAAATATTGTTTTATTGTTCATTCCTTTTAAAATATTAGAGTATTCTTATTATTTATTTGTAATTTTTTTTCCCGTAAATGCAAGATAAAAAAAAAAGTCAGTTATACAGTATTCATTTTAATCATATATAGTACTCAGCATATTTCTGGTAAGGAAGTAAGCACCTCATCCTGCTATGTGAAATTCTTTTTAGAATTTTATCTATATTACATGGACCTTGTATAAAATGTATTTTGGATACATGGTTCTCGTTTGATTTGTAGATATACACCTTTTAATTGGTTTATTTTGATTTATGTTCATTGAGTGCAATATGCAAGATAGTGAACTGTAGGGAATTGTTGAGAAGAATGATGCATTGATTTCCTTGTAGAAATAAAGTTTGTTCAAGTAATTTTAGAGATAAAAAGGAAAAATGAGTAATTGTATCACCAGTTCCTTTTTGCCATTAGGCCAAGCAGTGACAGACTGCGTGATGCTGTTGTTGCTGGTGTCAAGGCAGCTGGTGGCGAAGTGAAAGACTTTGGAGTTGTGTCAACACCAATCCTGCATTTTGTGGTCACATGCCATAATGATGGTGGACAGTGAGTATTATTTGTTTTATTTTTAGTGAGTTACTTGTCCTCCCACTGTAAATACAGTCATATGTCAAGTAATGTCTATTCATGCATGTCTTTCATTCCATAAGGTTTTATCAAGATCTAGAAATATCAGTCATTGTATATATAACTGGATGTAGCAAATTGCAACAGCATCCAACACATGCCATGTATCTTTTATAGTATACAAAACAATTGTTCTGTCAGGCATGTAATGCTACAGTATATTCATAATCTATGATGTATTATATGCATGGTTAGTCATAATCAATACTTACCTATTTTACTAGGTTGTACATTTGTTTTGCTGTACTTTGTCTTCTCTACTAAGAAATATAAAGGCTTCTGTATAACCGTGTCCTTTGGCTGATAGGCAGTACCATCCATTTCTTTATATACTGCTTGCCAAAATACAGCTGAAATGTAGTAGACTACTTTATATGTGTAAAGTATCTAGGTGGTGCACTACAGTATTCCATATGATTCACAATATATGAAATATGGTATTTGTCCTGTGTCAAAACCACATAGTGCTCTGTGTCAGTGAAGTTAAATGACTTATGACTGTAATTTGTTCACTTAATTTTCATATGATACTTTTTCCAAGCTTTTTTTTTAAATATTTATTATGATTTTATAATATCCTTGGTACATTCTGTATATTCTCAAGTCTCTTGTTTCTGTTGTGCTTTGTTTTTCCTTTTTTATTTATAATTTAGAAAGGGATATGGTTAATTTGTGTAGACTTTATATATACTTTGTAATTTTTGTTTATGATGATTTATATGTTAAAATTTTTGGTGTGTTTTTCCTTCTGTTATTCTATGTTGTACTCTGCTTCCCAGTTACATTACATTTTTGTTTTGTTTTACTTTATGTTTTCCTTTTTTTTTTTTTTTTTTTTTTTTTTTTTCTTTCTGCCTTTTTTTTCCTAGTGATTTTCCCATTGGTTGTATGATTTTTGTATGTACTGTCCCATTTATGTTTTTTTCTGTTTTCCTTTTTAAAATTTTTTCTCCCTTCATTTTTTTCCCATTTTCTGTTTCTACTGTTGTGATTCTTCTTTTTCTCCTTCGGCTTCTGCTTTGCTCACCTGTTTCAGTTTTCTGAAACAGGTGAAAGTTTCTGAAAGTTTTCTCTTTGTTTCTTTTTCTGTGGTAATTTGAAGTTCCAGAAAGAAGGAAAGTAGAAAATAGAAAGTAAAAGTAATAAGTACATGAATAAGCAATGAATGATAGAAAGTAAACCGCACAGAGAGTCATTAGATGGGTGAATTGTAAGACCCTTTTCATTCATAGTCATTGCAAACAAAGATCAACAAATTTTTACCACATATAATTTGGTAAGATTGTATCATCAGTTTCTTCCTTTTTGGTTGATAAATTAAGATCAAACCAAGCTCTGTAATTTCTGTAATTCATTTAGGGAAAATGTAAAAAATATAAAATGAAAACAAATAGATAAAGAGAAACCATAAAGAAATAAACAAAAATATTGCAAAGGATTTACAGAGCAAAATATAAAAGCAAAAACAGAAAGAAATGCAAAAGGAAAACCTGAAAGCCCACCACATCCAAATAGGCGAAATCATCACGCACTTCGACAGGACACTGAACACCATAGTGAAATTTTGCCTAAATGAATTACAGAAATTACAGAGCTTGGTTTGATCTTAATTTATCAACAAAAAAGGAAGAAACTGATGATACAATCTTACCAGATTATATGTGGTAAAAATTTGTTATTTTTGTCTGCATTCTATTTCCTTTTCCATTTCTTTTTGCTTTCTATCTCTGTTTTGTTTCACATTTTCTATTTCACATTTTATTATCTCTCCTCTTTCTCAGACTTTCCACTCTCTTTTTCTTTGTCTTTTGCCATTTCAACTTCCTTTTATACTTGATATATTTCCTCAATACCTTCATCTTCATTGCTTGCATATTTCTAAATATTCAAAGATTCAAAGTCATATACAGTCCATGTAATTTGAACTCCACCTCTTGCAGGTACGGTGAGCCCACTGAAGAGGGCTATTACAAAAAGATTGCCCAAGCCTTTGCAAAGCTGCGTGTGTC